AACCCGATCTAGCTAGTGATGGCCCTGCTCACTGCAGGGGGGTTGGACTAGATGACCTCTAGAGGTCCCTTCCAACCCAAAACATTCTATGATTCTATGACAATTATAACATGAAAATACTATTTCTTAAGGTAGGAATAAGCAGGGGTGTCCTTCACATTGACTGTAACCACAAGGAGTTATTCTGAAATTAATGAAACTATAATGAAACTATTTGAATAGCAAGGCACTCCAGTTTGATACACATGGATGAATGCAACACAAATTTACACGCAAGACTGGGCAGCAGCACTGCTGTTCACATGTTTTGTAGCAAATCTTATGCTCTACGCTGGTTAATTCTGCATCTGCAAAAAAGGAAAAATCACATTCTAATTACTGCCATTTTGATTGTCTAGCAAAAGTCACTGTTGTCTTGACATCAGAAATAATGCTACCACATATTGAGGGTCCAGCCTGGCTAGAATGGTCTGGCAGAGACAGAACACAGCCTGTTAACTCAGTTCTCATATTGCTTCTGTTGGCAAAAATCAGAGCTGAGTTTATTTAAATAAGTAAGATATGAATCATTGTTGCTTATGTCAGATTTCTGTCATGCGAAGATCAATTTATTATCAGTAAAGTTAAGGAAATCTCAGTTGTTTATAGAGAGATCTGACAGTTAGAAGGAGACAGTTCAAACCTTTCTTTAGAAAAAAATTCTCAACTCTTCCCCCTCCTAATACGAGGATAGCCAACAAATACCTTCATTGAGGTAACGGTACAGAGATTTTATTATATTTGTTAACAACTGCCCACAAGATATTCTTGAGTGACGTCAAGACAAGCATTCTCCTTGAACCTAATGAGCACAAAAGTTAGCCTGAGATGTGCTGATTTAGTAAGTTTTGCAATAGCCACTGCTGTCAAGAATGTAAATATTTCTTCATTCTTTAAATATTTTCACCTACCTTGCTGCAATCCTTCCAAGTTCCAGCAAACAAAGGCACACTTCTCTTGGCTGCTTGTGGAGAACTGAAAAAGCAAAACGAAGATGGAAAACATGTATAAATAAAAGCTATTTTAAAGATCTTCGTGATGAATGTAACCTAATCACAAACATCTGTAAATCTTGATTCAGATAAAACTTGGTTTTCTTTGGCTTGAAGTGGAGTTTTACTGGAATAAAAAGGATGGGATTGAGGAGCGGTTCTCAGAGTGCAAATGATTTAGGAAGTTTCCATGTAGTTATCCTTTAGTTCCTTTGAAAATACCATTCTGAATCTAAATCACTGAGTAATTATTGGGCTATTTGGTAAGCTGCAAGCACTTCAGAACTATTTAAAAATAATCCAGATCTTTGTCAGAAGACTAAACTAGTAGAATGTCAAATATCAATTAATAAAATTAAAGTCATACTTTTCTTTCTATAAACTAAGAGAATTACTATCCTTTAGATCACTATTTTCCTTAGCCTATTTAAATCACAAAAAATAATAAAATTGCACTAGCAAAGATATATCTCATTATAAATTTAGTCCTGAAGTCATTTATACATCTACTCTTAAAGCAAACATGAAACTAGAGTACTTCAGAAATTCAGCTTATAACAGAAAAAAACCTCAACCAAACAAAAACTTCTCTTCTATCTATATACACACATATATGCAAGTTTTCAGGCCTGGATTCCACACAAGACCTGTAGCTTTCAAGCTTCAGAAGCAGCTGTAACACAGCATGAATTTCTCATTAAGAAATACCACCACAATCCAAGATAATGCTTTCTTTTTTCCCCACAATTTAGATAGGTAAGATTCTGTAGAGAAGTCCAGCAAAATATATAAGCAAAATCCAAAATCAACAGATGAGGATAGGCCTGCAGCTGTTTGCATAATCCAGTCCCCAAAAGTCCAAAAAGCAGAACGTAAAAATTAAAAAAAAGAAAGAAAAAAAAAGGAAAAAGGAATTATGAGTGCATTGTCATCTTCGCTCTAGAAATGCCTATTGCAGTAAAACCCTCATGTTGTGGATAAAATTCAGGTTTTAGAAATTTCCACAACAATCAAAAGATTTGTACCTTATGCTTTAGATTGAATTGATACCAAAACATAATTGTGTGAACATTTCTGTAAATCAGAAAAATAGAAACATCAACAAAATTGTTTTGCTTTTGATGAGTTATGGTCAAGACATCTGCTGTATAAACATTTTGATTATCTTAAGACTCACCTAACTCAAATGCATGAGGAAAAAAATACCATACCTGAAAAAGATATTTCAATGTCTAGTTAAAGCTCTGAAAGTCATTGCTTTGTCCTAGACTGTTCATATGAGACCCAGAACTGGAATCCACAGCCTTCAACATCTCTAGATAACTACTGCCTACTGGGGCAGATCTTCAGCTTCTGCAACTTCAACTTCCAGCTCCGCTGGCTTGGATAAAGCTATGGTAAGGTGCTCAAGTTGAATGCCCGTCCCAATATCTTTTACTAGTGTATAGGTACACTTTGAGACATACGCATTCTTCCCCTCTAATCTCATGCAATATATCTCCAGAAGTGAAACTGCAGAGCATGAAAACTAAAATGGCACTGCACTAGGAAAAGTATTTCTACCCTTCAGTCATCTGTTATTAAAAATATAAAAGATGAAGACTTGGACATTCAACTTTTCTCAATATTATTCCTTGCCCCAACACAGTAATTTTATGAAACCTTTACCTTTACTAGCAATCAGCATTCTTTAGTGTTACATTCATGACCCTAGAAACATATTCTGTTGCTTTCGTTCTAAACCAGTAGGGACTGCCCCAAAATAAAACTTGATTTTAAGAAATAAGGCATTCCCCAAAATATAAATGGAATAAACCGTGTTTGGAATAGACAAAGAGTGTCCAAAATTTTTTAATTGCAGTTCACACATATACGCATCAGAATAATTTTTGGAAGGGAGGAGGAAAAGAGAGGCTCAAGTAACATTATGTGCAAAAAGATCCATAAATAGAATTGGAAGAGGATTTGATTAAGAAAGGTAAAATGTTTTTCTGTCAATGCTTAAAGCTCTTCTACCCAAACAAAATTCCAAGTCCTATAGCAAATCTGACTCAACATGTGTCTAGGCACATTACATGCATTCCACATCAAACAACATGACACAGTGAAACCATTGTTAGAGGACGAAGAGCTGTGCAGGCAATAACCAGCCACAAAACCAAACAATCTGGTCATCTGATAAGACGACGGTGACACAGCACTTCTAACAAGAAAATGTTAGCATTCCTGAGGACTATACAGCATATGCATTTGGGAACTTCAGAGACAAACAGATGTCATTTGTACACTGCAATACCCACTGGAAGTAATTTACATTCTTAAAGCAAAATTTTCTTTTTTGTTTTTTGTTTTTCTAAAAGCACAACTGTTTAATGGGCTATCACCTTGCAAGAGACTGGTCAGGAGTTACCGCAAAAGCCACAGAGTCAAAAGACAGCATTTCCACACCTATCTTGGTCCCAAATATTCAGTATAACCTTGAGCGCGCAAGTTACGACCATTGCCTTTTGGAACAAGTAGCACTTTCAAGTGCCTTGATCTCTAAGTACTTATTTTGAGATACTTTTTGTCTGGTGCTATTCCAAAATAACTGAAAGCACTCTATATTTACAGTCACTTCCAAAAGGCTGACTCCTAAGCATATTGGGGGGGGGAAAAAAAAAAAAGCTACCTTTACACTTTTTTCCATCTAGAGAACAGAAATAGAAACATTTCTTATGCTTCCTTTTTTTTAGTTTTACATATAGAAGTTGAGTTAATCGATATTTTTGAAGCACTTCAAGACATCTGATAGAAGAGATGGCAAAAACTATTTCAGAGGCACTACACAATGCTGAAATCACTTATTTTGTTACTTAAAATAAGTATGCTGCTAAAAAAGCAATCTGTAGAAGTCCACATTTAAATTCTCACTGTACTGTAATTTAGATTCTCATTTTAATTCTGACCATATTGCAGCTCATGCCTAACTACACTACATACATGTACACGGTTGAAATATGACACCTGTACCCGTGGTATTCTGTTGTGTCCTCTGGGAACTACATCTACCATTTTCTGAATTACTTACTATAATCTATATTAATAGTTGCATTTTAGTAATAGGCACCACCTCAACTTTTTGACCCGACCGATTACTTAATCCCAGATACACTACATGGCAAATGGATATTTGCTAAGCAACACATTTTCTGTAATTGTAGCAATTTCTACACAGTTAACACACAGCAAGTGCTGGAAGCTGAAAAATTATTCTTAGAGGCCATCTTCATTCTATCTCCAGCCACATACACAACTCACTGCACATCATTTGAAGTCTACACTCAACACAGTGCAATTCATTTCCACAACAGTGCTACTGTATGCTGTGAAAAATTCGAAGAAAAAGCAAAAATGGATTTCTCTAACACTTCTATGGGGCTGTGGTATTATCATCCCCATCTTATACACGGAATTAAGGCATAAGTAGAAGATACCAAAAAAAGCACATCTAGGTGCTATTTTAAAATACTTACTGGCTGATCTCCAGGGTACTGCTGAGTGTCCTAATGCTACATTTTGTATGAAAGCCAAGCCAACACAACTAGTGATCACACTACAAAGTCTGATAGGGATCCTCTCGCTGCACGTGGGAGCTCTGCGATAGAGCCATAGTCACTTCTTCTGATTCCATTCAGTAGCAACATCAAAATAGTATCCTGCAGCATCTTGCAGCATTCTCCAAACATCTTCAGATTTTTGCAACAAATGAGGCATGTGAGGAGAAAATAATATACCAATAAAAGCTTCCTTTACTTCATAAACCATACCACACCAAGATGTTGGCAGAGCAAGGTCTCTAAAGAGAACACAGCTCTTTTAGGAGGAAAAAATAGCCATGACCACATGAAAAGTTGCTAGGTGTATCGTAATGGCTAAATAGGTTAACTAATGTAGTATACCCAGCCTTAATTATAGTCCAAGTACTTCACTTTGCAGCATTAATACAATTTTTGTATGCAATTTTCTGTCTTTTTTCACACTTTTACATAAGGAAGAAAACAATATTCCTGAAGAATCACTGGCCAGTCATCCCGTAACAAGGTGAATCGTCCGATTAGGTAGCTATAAGTTTTAAATGTAGAAGACACATGCGCTACACAGCCCCACTGCATAAGATGAAAGGAAATGTGCACCTCAACAGGAAATCTCACTGACGATATTTGCTTGACTAGAAAGCAACATGAAGATTTAGAAATAGTGCATACAAGTCCAACTTATTTTAGGTGTCCTGCCAGTTACAGGCCCTTTTGCTTTCCATCTCATTCATTTCAAATCCTTCCTATCTGCTGTCCTCACTGCCAACATCTTTTCAAGCTACTTCCAGCCACTCTTTTTCAACAAGACTTCCTTTTCAGCTCCTAGCAAGCTTTTATCCCTGCTGCTCTCTGGCTATAACTTCTTTCTCCACATTGCTTCCATCTTGTTGCTGCCCCTTTCTCCTTTTACGGGTCCCTCCTCTCCTGATCACTCACCCCTTGTTCTCTTCCCTCGTACTTCATTTCTCTCCTACCTACTGTTCATCACATTTCTGCATCCTTCACCGCTCCCCTCCCCAGTGCCTGGATGCTACCAGGAGAAGCAGAGAGAGCACAGGAGGAACAGCCTCTGATTTCAGCGCTGATCAGCCCCTGGGGCCATGAGAAGCCAGAACACCCTACATGTGGAGACCGCCTGTTTGCTGAGCACATTTAAACCAAGAGTGTTCACAATAACAAACCTGGAGGATTTTGTTTTGTTTGTGGCTTGGTTTTGGGTTTGGTTTTTTTTTTTTTTGGTTGGTTGGTTGGGTTTTTTAAATTAGCAGAATGCTCAACTATGATACAGGAACAAACTTCTTAGACCTCTCTGCCAACGTTCAAGCCTTGGCTCCTAACATTTTTATAAACCTTTATTAGTGGAGTCAGCTTTTCTTCTCTATGTTAACATAAACTTTTTTTTTTAAAAAAAAGATCTCAGACGTAGCTGAACCAAACAAGTGAATGTGATTTCTGCTTCTAAAGCATTTTTTAGCTCACTAGAGGCAAAGAGACTTTCCGAAGGGGTTTAGTATTTATTATCATAGGCTTCCAATTGCCACTGCTTCCTTAAATCATGGAGCTGTGTTCCCCCGCCCCTCATTTCAGCATTATCACTTACAGAAGTCTCAAAACAATTAACATTTCAAATGCAGTAGATCAATGGATAATAAAGAATTTATCTAGAATGAACATAGAGACCATATAAACATTAATAATTTACTGGAATTCATTAATTTAAGATGCTAATCCAATGGAAATAACACAGCACCCAGGATGCTTCTATAGTCCTCAAAACAAGACATATTCAACAATAGTATGAGTGGTTTAGTAAAATGTTGTGAAAGAAGGGACAAAGCCTTATTCTGATGCAACTACATGTAAAATTTAGCACAAGCTGTAGAGGTGTCACTCTGAAAGATGGGTCAAAATACTTCCATCTTGTAATATGAAATCAGATAAACTAGAGCATTAATTAAAAAAATCCTTTGCCCCTATGCAAAAATTATTTGTAAGCAATCAACATTTGAGCATTTTTTTTTTAAAAACTTAAAAAAACCCCAAAACATTAGAATAGGATATCAGAGGTGTTTAACTCTATTATTTCCCCTAAAACATTAGATGCCCTTGTTTAAGGAACCTGCCCATCAAACTCTATAATCATTAAGTTGCATCAAAAGAAGTCCACATCACACATTGTGTGTACACACGCACAGTTACAGAATATACAAGCACAAAACATTAATACTACAATATCATCCAATAACTCCCAAAACAAGTGACACATATTAGCATGCTGGCACACTTGGTGGCAAACCCTTTTCTTGCTGGGTGGAGTCTTTATCATAGAAGAGATGCAGAATATTTATTGGTTCCAAATCCTACAATCATCCAAAAAGACTATGTTACCAACAAACATTTCATAATTTAAGCTTTAAGTTCACTTAACTAAAGCAATCATAGAAAATCTTCCCATTCTCACTATTTGGCCAAGAAAAGTTTTCTTTGAGTATTACACTCTTCAGCATTGAGCACCATACTTACAAATATCTCCATCAAGCATGCTTCCATAAATTGAATTACCATAGCTGTGTGGATCTCCTGCCCTAAAACCTACAAAGGGTAACTTGCAAAATATACATATCATGGGAACAGAGGACTTAAAGACAGCATTACTTTTCTTAGATTGAAAAGAGTTAGGGCTTTATGTTCCAAGGCCTAGATATGGGGCAAATTTTGACCTATGAGATGTCCAAGAACCCCATTCAAAGACAGTGTATCTCAAGATTTGCCCAGATGATGAAAGTTTGGGCTTTGGATCATAGTTTTTGCTATCAACAAAGCTAATTCCTCCTTCTTTAAATACACTAACTATAAAAATAACAATCATGAAAAGCATGCTACATTGGCCAACAAGTGTGGGAGCATGCAGAGTCTCCCTCTATTTTGCAGCATTCAGGATTACCCCTACATACTGTGTTGCTGTATTTGTTACAGACGCCAGTGTCCGCTCTGCAGCTCATACAACAGGCACAGCATCCAGCTTTTCTTTGCAGAGGCATTAACTCTGAGGCTTTCCTGCCATGTCTCTGCATTAAGATAAATGCAAATAGCAAGATACACAGAGACTGCTACCAGCTCTGGCTTTATTATAAATTTTTCTAGAGAACTGTATTTCCAATCTGTTTTTCAAACTATATTAAAGCATCATAACATTCAGCAAGACAAAATATATCATAATACAGAATACTAACTAGAGGTTAGTAGTACAAGTGCATTGTTTTCAAACTTTTGAGCTCTCGACTGATCCCTTTCAAGGATCTTTAAAGTAACTCTACTGATTAGAAGGCACAAGCATTCCTAGCAGCATAACAAATACCACTTTTTTCCCTTCTATTTGTTTTAAAGAAAGACTTTGATCCTGTTTTTTTGTTTAGCTCAGCTGGATAGCCCAAATCCAACAAAGCATTTGAACCTGGCTTAACTTTAGATAAATAAATTAATTACTAAATGAGTCCACAAGTGATGGACAAGGACACAAAGTGACACGAGTAAGTCTACTCACCTGCTTGTCTGGATCAGCCCTAGAATGCTAATGCTTTGCAGAACCAAGCTTCTAGGAACGCTCAAGGTTCCCACTAATATCACTCGCCTGCAGGCTCCTCAGGCATGGACTGCACCTATCTGCTATAGTGTCTGCAGCTACACTTGCATGGTTTCAGAGACTTCAGAACTCACCAGGATGAGAACATATTTTTAATTAACGAGAAATAATAGCAATTAATAATTTCTTAGCTAGTATATATTTAAGTTTGCCAATCTCTGAATGACTTGGGGCTTTTTTTTCTTTTTAATCAGTAATGTCATAAATCCATCATTCAAATGTTTCAGTGCAAATACAGCTTCAAAATTACTCTTATAATGTTTAGAGTACAAATTTGCCAGAAAAAGGCCTCAGGAATGTTTTACGTGATACAATGACATGAAGAAAGTATCATTATGTGCATCTAATCAAATAATAGGGTATTTACATACCATAAGGCAGGCAGAATAGAGTAAAAAAGGAGGATTAAAATCAAGTCAATTAGGAACATTTTAACACAGTAAGGTTCCTCAACATAGACAGAAAATAGTTGCTTTATCACTAGCAATTTACATACCAATACAGTTTGTTAACCATGGTGAAAAACCACAAGAAAACACTAAAACCAGTTACCTGTGTAACCATAATTTCACCAAAACTATTTATTATCAAAAATACAGCAGACTTCCATGAAGCGGTGCAAACATTTATATGTCATTCACACATTTCTCATCACTTTGAATAGAACCTTTTATATTACTTACCTTTGCTGATTTTTTATTTCCTATGCAGTGGAGGAGTGATTTGTGGGAGAGAGAGGAACATAAAAGCTTCAGATTGGCAACTGTTATGATCTCAAATCTTTTAAGAGTTCTAGCTCAAACTGATGGAGAATGGTAGCTTCTATTTTGATCTTTTTTACAAATGGCGCGGTCACTATCCCCTTCTCAAGTTCAGAAAAATAGGTCAAATTATTATCAAGTCTTAACCCTATTTCCAGTGCCATAAGAGTTTTCAAAAAGTACGTTCTATAAACAGTAATACTCAGAGAAAGAAAACAACAGAACTTAGTTTTCAATCAGTGAAGAAAATCAGTCACTAATCAAACAATTCTAATACAGCACAGGTGGGCACACTGTGTATTTGGGCATATTTCACTTCACTTCTCCAAGAGAGGAAATCATCTTGAACATCAACCTTCCAGGTATAGTTGCACTCAGTGTTATACTCTGGAAGGCAAAGCACTGTGCATGTGCAAAAATTAACTTATCCAGGGAACGTCGATATTTCAGCTATGTCAATTCCATCTCTAAACAAGACCTGGTTTCTCAATAATGCACAAGAAAATTCCTTATAAACATGCCCTAAATTACATAGTTAACCTATTACTGGAACAACGTTAAACTGCTGAGTTTACCACAACAGTATAAAGTCTAAATTCATTTAAGTGTTGGATTAACCACAGGTTCTTCTGCTTATCTCAGACAATGGAGGTCTATGTCTCCTTCCTTCTTGTGCTTGCAAGTTTCTTTGTCCTAGGTGATGTCCAACTTCTACATAATTTCAAGCCTTTGGCAATACAATTATTATTCATCTTCTTCATGATTTACCATGTCCAATCAAAGTTTTATCTGGAGGATTTAATTAACAAAACAGAGATAGTATATATATTCTCCTTACTATCTGTCACTTTTGTGATACTAATTTCTTCTCTGCCAAGCATTTTCTCCTGGAGAAATAAAATAATTTAATTTAATTTAAAAAACCTCACAGGATAAAGGAACACAGATATGAAAAAAATTGCTTCAGGAATAGTTGTGCTAGAAGAGCAAGACTTTAAGAGAAGGGGAATAGATCAGTTGCAACACAGGTAAGAACTTCAACTGGGCAGTCAAAGACCTTCTAAGCAGCAGAACAAGGAAGTCTCTTGATGCAGTGTAGCATGTTCATTTGTCTTCCATAGAAACAGCTGTCTATCATCAGGACTGTTTTACACTTTTATCTGAGTTCAGATAACAAACAAACATTTGTTTCTCTTTGTTTCATGATATTTGGTTGAAATAAAATCTCGAGGTAAGATTCTTAAGTTATCCTTTGAAGAGAAAAAGTTAAAATAATGAAAAATATGTACTATTAGAACAGTGACTTTCTAAGCAGTCCAATTCTTTCAATGGAACACCCTGAAGCACTAGTGTTGGATAATTTTTGTCCAGAGCTGTACAAGGGAATCAGCTGGAAAAAATGTCAGTGTAGGCTGCAGAAAAAAAATCTGTATTTTCTTGCCTCCTGAGCAATCCATTCAATCTGCGTGAATAGCTAAATATCTTCAGCCAAAACTGAGAAAGCACTTGTATCCTACTCTCCCTAACCAAAAAAGGACCAACTTATTCACTGAAGTAAGGAACAGCATCCTGTGATCAAAAAAGTGTGTGTAGGGTGAAAAACCATCTGTGTGCAAGAAATTATAGCAAGATTTTTGTCTCGTGTAGGTTCCTCTCAAATTGACTTAAATGATTTTTAAGTGATGTGTACTTTATTTTTTCATGCTCCAGATGAGGGGCAGAATTAACACAGTCAGACACAGGTCAGATTTGGAGTCAGGATTTGTTAAGAGAGCCATTCCATCTTTCAAGGCAAAATGCAAAAGAAAAGTTATTCAGAATTACCAGCTACTATAAAAACAAATACATACCCAAACCTTCTGACTCAAACAGGCAGGTATCATCCACACCTACATCTCTGCACCAGGATAAGAAATTTGCTGTGTTGTCTCGTGCAAAAAAAGACCCTGAAGGAGCATTGGCTTTGCATGGAATCTTCCGTACTGGTAAGGTCTGAAAAAACAGAATTTATCTATTTAGATAAACGGTATTCTATAAGCATAGTACTTAAGTGTTCTGAAATCACTATGCAAGTTTTGCATAGATGGATGACTACAGAGCCACCAACATATTTCCTTGTCCCTTAAATAATTCCAAACAAAGAAGAATGAGAAGTGAATTCAATGGCACAAAATCATCAACCACAAAGATGTTTCAAAAGCGTCATGATTGGCATCATGATGTAAAGTTCAGAGCTGAATCAGTATTAGCAACATTTTAGCAATATTAGAAACTACAATGTTAGAATTTAGTGTTTGCTCCAGTTCACTGAATCATAAGAAAAGAAAAAATTTATGAAGACAGACTTTAAACTAGGAACAGAACTTTTGCAAAATTACAGGTGAATTAGTTTCAGATCTACATCAGGAAGGAATCACAGTGTAAAGCAATAGGCCTTGAGGACCGAAGGCCATAAATACTTCAGAAATGCCACTGTCTCCCATTTAACAATACACATAAGCCCCCACTGCACACCACAGAAATATAGTCTAGTACCTACAAGATCTAGGTTTAACAGAGTCAGGCTCTCATTGTATCCGAGTAGTTCCATTTACATGATTTCAGTATCAGAGGACCTGCTACGAATACAGCATATCAATATCTGAACCACAGTAATTACCACAGCAAGTGTTTTGCTTATATTGGTACATTTACTGAGACACATACAAAGAATACTTCAGCATTTAGGTCTCATGTAAGGTTTCTTTTCCTCAAATGAAAAATATGGCATGGCAAAATGAACAAAGAATGAAACATTGTTGCTACATGACTTTAGAAATCTCTAAATCACAGAGAAATTCAGGCCCCATGCTGATTTGTATGTCCTGCCTTTCTCTTGTGCTGATTTATGAAATATTTGCTTCTGTTCTGGAGTCAGTAATTATTCAACGGCAAGTGAGCTAAGAGGTAGAAAACGGAAAATGGTGTGTCTACTAGTTCCTGGATCTACATCCAAAATTCCTTTTTCAACAGTCCAAAAAATAAATCTTGGAAATGTGGAGAGGGAACAGAAGACACAGGAGTAGGCTTCCCCTTACAACAGCTGCTGGTAGCATACTAATGTCAGTATTTAAAGACAGTTCAGAAAGACTTTATATATGATTTTATATTAGACATTTGATAGCAACAATGTAATTGCAGAACACATCTACATGCACAGAACTACTCACCTCTATATACTTGATAAACCAAATAAACTGCAAATAGAATGCCTACAGGGATACACACCATTCTACATGTTCTATCAGTACGTCAATGGGAGCTCAGGAATTGCCTTAGACACATACACGTGCTTTATAAATGTTTAGACCTATTCCTCAGATCACCACCTACCTCTCATTCCCCCGTGTTTCTTATTCCAGTTATGCTTTTTTACATTTATTTCCTTGTTTTGCAAAAATGATGCTTACACTTCAAAATATTTGAAAGGAGATATTAATACTTTTCTATATTGTCTTCTCAGAAAACACTGACCAGTTTTACATAATATATTAAATAAAAATGCCAGTATACCTTGTGTCATAGACACCACATTACCTCCTGGAACACCCTGGAATTAGAGAGGGGAAGAAGGAAGGAAGTAGGGAAGCATACATGACTATTCAATAAATCCAGTATAAATAAAACCCAATGAAACCTGAATTCTTCCAAGCGACTCTAGATATGGAACAAACTTTCAGAGCAGGAAAAGATTAGAAAAAGTTAGGAAAAATTTCTTCATCGGAAGGATTGTTAAACACTGGAACGGGCTGCCCAGGGAAGTGGTTTGAGTCCCCATCCCTGGAGGTATTTAAAAGAAGGATAGATGAGGTGCTTAGGGACACTGTTTAGTGGTGGGATAGCAGGGTTAGGTTAATGGTTAGACTTGATGATCTTAAAGGTCTTGTCCAACCTAAACGATCCTATGATCAGAGCACAAGAAAGTGTTTAACCATAATTTTAAATCCCTCTCCCTTCTTCTGGAGAAAAAAAAAAAAAAAAAAAAAAAAAAAAGAAAAAAAAAACCAGAACAACAAACAAGCAAGCTATTAGCACTAGAAGCAAGAGCTGGGCTGCTCCAGGAGAGAAGATAAGCCAGGAGCCAAGGGTGACCCCAGCAGAAGCAGTGGCAGCCCTCACCGGTAGCAGTGCCCTCCCGCAGCACCCAAGGAGGGCAGTGCCCATGACATAGCAACTTTAGCTGACTATCCTGTGACAAGACGAGGTGACAAGTCAGTTCTAGTATCTGTCCAGGAAGACAAGTCACAAAGAGCAGAAGGCAAGGCTGGACGCAAAGCTACAGCAGAGGCTGAGGCTCCAGCCGCAAAGCCCAGCTGGTCTTGCCCAGGAAGCAAGGCTAGAGCTGATCTATCCACAACGTGGGCTCAAGCAAGAAGTGGGGCCAAGCTCAAAGGGAGCTCCTGGGCTACATCAGAGAGCACAGGCTGGGGTCCCAGGTGAGGCTGGTCATGGCTATTAAGGTATTTTGGTTCCCTCAGGTCCTGACAGCAATTATTCTGTGTTTTAGTATTTCAGTGGAATCAATCCCTTGAGAAATAAATTAGCTAATTTATAAACAACTCTAACTTGTCAGTAGATTCAAAGAGGTGCCATTTCGTAGCACCATACCTTAATATGATTACATAACATCCACTGTACATACAACATGCTTGATCATATTCTCACATAGCCAAATTACCAGCAGCTATAAACTGGTTTAACGCCATTAAAATCAAACTGAATGAAATTATTTTCCCATGATATCTCTGCTTGGACCAGAGTATCTGAAGTGATACACAGATGTTGAAGCAAATGAGTTAACAGGCCAATGTAAGGAGACCAGGCAAATTCTATCTGACAAAAGTATACTCTTCAGAATTTTTTATGGCTATGTCTAATTTTAAGCACAAATCCTGGATGACCTTATAATGGATTAGCAGCACTGTGACAGGAACAAGGTGAGAGAAGCCAGCTCCAGTATTCCTGGCACTTGCACACTTGTGCATAAGCTACTTCAGAGACCATGGAAAGGAGATAAAGCTCCAGTTACTTTTCATTTGAAAGTAGAACTGCAGTGTCAAATCATGTCATCTCCTAGTTCCCTCCTCAGCTCTCATCTCTGTATTTTCCATAGTGCATAGAAAGTCTTCTCCAAAACAAAAACTGTTTATAACCCCAGAACAGCTCAGAAGGGCATTACAAGTGGAATCATACCAGGTTTGTCTCCTTCCACTCAGTTCTCCAATTTCAGCCCAGTTGATTCTGTGCCTTTAAACTACTTTGCCCTGCCACATCCCCTAATAACCAGCCTACATTCTTTCATGTCATGCTAAGGGTATTAAACACTGTTCTGGAAGTCTTCATATTATTTCAGGAAATTTGAACTAGGGGGAAAAAAACACAAAAAACACAAAAAACACACACACACACACACAAAGAAAATATTGCGCTATACGGCACAGAGGAGACTTGGGGCCAGCGTGGGCACAACCAATCTGCTCTACTCGGCCCTAAGCCCACAGGGTATGAGCAAGCCTGCAGCACTGGTCCTGGAGACCAGGACCTGCTCCTTGGCACAGATGCCCTCAGCAGTACAAAAGCAGCTGGAAGCGAGGAGATAGCCAGGAGAACCTACACTGCTTTTTAACAAGGGGCTGTTGGGAAGGCATTGCAATGCCTGGCAGGAACACAGAAAACTAGTTTTCCCCAGGGTCACTGCTGCTCCCCAGTACTAACAACATGTGAATAAATCTGGTTCTAAATATTTTATGCCTTCTGATTTAGGTAGATCGTAATGACTGAACATAGAAACGCCTTCAAGAAAAGCAATTCAGAACAGATGGTTTATGTGTCAGAAATCTATGCAGTTAGGAGTCAGCAAATAAACCATCTAAAACTTCATGTACATAGCGGACTATCCATAAATTACGCATCTATACCTCAACAACTAAGACAGACCTTTAAACACATCAGTCAATCACGCTTCATTGCGAAACCCATACGTTCGTGGAGCTTGCAACATTTCTTTCACAATTATAAAGATTAGAGTGTCTTTCAGAAGTAAATTTTTGTAGTAACAGCTACTGACAGCAAACAGTAAGAGTCAGGGTACCGAACTAGCACACTTAACTGATCAAACCTGTGATATTCTCTAGTTTCACAGTGGCAGGAAAAATGTCTCATTAAGGGATGCCCTAGACAACTCCTGAACTACAGAAGGGAACAAAACCTATATTATTGAAGGGGGTGGGGCAGGGGGGAATGCTTTAAGTCATTTTATGGAACAAATACTACATAGATAAATATCCTGGGCATCACATGATCTCACTAGAATGTAGCATTCTGTATTTCATCCCATTTCCCACAATATTAGAGTCTTGCTGAAGAGAACACCAAAAAACCCTCCTCTCAACACTAGCACAATCAAGTTTAACACAGAAATCATAGGAAAATACTAATATTTTCTTATCACTTAATAAATTTCCCTACCACCTTTTAAATCGAAGTCTACTTTTTTAATATTTCCAAAACTATCACTGTAATGTTCAACTGGTAACACATAAAAGCTCTTATTTAAGACAGGTTGCAGGCACAAATATTTTTTACTGATTTGTATAAATGGCCTGACTATCTCAAAAGTGCTTTCTAACAGATCATTCTGAAGTAATTAGGTTTCCATATGGCAAAAGTGACTTTTGTTGACATAGTATAGTATAACCGCAGTTGCTTTGAAACAGCAGTGGCCGCAATTACTCCTATCAAATATCATGAAAACAGTTCCCCTGTTACACTCCTTTTACAATCTTGTCTTGTTGATGTGCATGCATGTGGTTTAATGCAGGATGTGAAAGTGTGAGTGAAATATATGATGCAATCCTGGAAAAATGCTGTCAGGTTCACTTCTAAACCCAAAAGGGACTCTCTTACACTGATGCTCTGAAATCACATGGAAAAATGTATTTTTTGTACTCTTT